ATAATTCTGCACACTAATAGTTGCCTAATAGTGGTGTACATGTAGATATTCTCCTAAGAAAGTCAAAACTTCATTTTTACTACTTAAATGTTCAGGTTTGAGGGTTTGTTAACATTTTGGATTGACCAAGAGCACTGTAGTTGTGCAATAACAAAATTAATCCTCAAAAAATACAACTTGCCTAATAATTGTGCACACAGTGTAGTATGGTCTAGACCTTACTTTGTAAAGTGTCCTGAGATGACTTTTGTTGTGATTTGGCGCCATACAAATAAAACTGAATTGAACTGAATTGAAATTGAATTGTCTTGTTGCTTTTATTTTCTCTTCTTTTTCCTCTATCCACTCACCCCAACTGGTCGAGGCAGAAGGCCGCACACCAAGAGCCGGGGTCTGTCGGAGGTTTCGTCCCTTAAAGGGAGTTTTTCCTCCCCAAGTGCTTGCTCACAACGGATTTGTTTGGATTTTTCTGTAATAATAATAACAATAATATAATAGTAAGGTCTAGATCTTACTATGTAAAGTGCCATGAAATGATGCTATACAAATAAAACTGAAATGAGTCTACAGTTAGCACAATGACTTCCATTGTGTTGTACAGTAAATCATATCTAATCTGCTTTGACAACTTGGTAAATGGTCTTAGCTTCTGTTTGTGCCGTGTTTTGCATGTGAGGTGTCATGGGAAAAGAAACTAGCTACAGCAGATATCACTAGCCAACCATTTATCTGCAAGCAGCCCATTTTGTGACCACATGTATGGTGACTGTTAGAGGACATGACATCACCAGTACATTGCACAGTAACCAATGGGAGTCACGCACAAATCCAGAGCAAGTCATGTCTGATTTGGGGAATTTCTCTTAAACCACAGAGAAGAGGAAAAACCTGGTCAACATATTGCAGACATGAAACTGAAATAACTATGTTTGTTTAGCCTGGTCAGCAGAAAGGGGATTTCTATTCTTTGAGTTGGCTAAGCACAAATATAATTAATATAATTATATGAAGACAATTTATGCTGACCTTACACTAGTAGACTATGATTAGACTTAAAATGACTTTTAAA